TTCTCAGGACCACCTAAGGTCTCTGCTAAGGTTTCGGAGCTGCCGTACATCTAAGGCGCCAAAAAAGGCCATCTAATATCTATAGATATTAGCTAGGTTTAGTTTCTAAAGGTTCTCATATAAGTTTAGAAGTTTAGTCTTAGATGACTTCCAACCCTACTCCTGTACCACCCTGCCACCGGAGAGTACCCTCCTGTACCACCTTGCCACCGGAGGGTACCCTCCTGTACCACCTTGCCACCGGAGGGTACCCTCCTGTACCACCCTGCCATCGGAGGGTACCCTCCTGTACCACCTTGCCACCGGAGGGTACCCTCCTGTACCACCTTGCCACCGGAGGGTACCCTCCTGTACCACCTTGCCACCGGAGGGTACCCTCCTGTACCACCTTGCCACCGGAGGGTACCCTCCTGTACCACCCTGCCACCGGAGGATACCCTCCTGTACCACCCTGCCACTGGAGGGTACCATCCTGTACCACCCTGCCACCGGAGGTTACCCTCCTGTACCACCCTGCCACCGGAGGGTACCCTCCTGTACCACCTTGCCACTGGAGGGTACCCTCCTGTACCACCCTGCCACCAGAGGATACCCTCCTGTACCACCCTGCCACTGGAGGGTACCCTCCAGTACCACCCTGCCACCGGAGGGTACCCTCCAGTACCACCCTGCCACCGGAGGGTACCCTCCTGTACCACCTTGCCACCTTCTTGTGGGGGCTTGTAGAAAACACATGAGTCTGCCAGCCTCTCCATGGCAAGCAAGGATGCTTCCATTTGGATTCAGCTAAACATGGCAGTGGCCTCGGGGCGCCTCTTGTTTTTCATGCAGCTGCAGCAGCCAGGGATGGTGTTGGGCAGTGGGCTGCAGCAGGTATGTGGCCATGTCAGGCTGCACGCCAGGTTTTTGTACAGGGGCCAGGGCTGATAGCTGAGTTGCTGAACAGGTGTTGAGTTGTTTGTCGTACACGCACATATGTTCGTGTACGGCACTTGGCGCAGCTCATAGTATACGCACACGTTTTAGAATAGATACAGAACCTTTGGATGCTGTGACAATAATTTAAGTTGAGGTGTCGTTTATTACAGCATAGGTTTAGGGAAACATTATAGTATAATAGTATCGCAGTCTTAGGTTCGATTCCAATACAATACGCGAAATGGATTTCAATGTAAGAATAACCTTAGAATTTCCTGAGAATATGACTTAAGAATGAGTGCCATACTTAGCGAACCTATGGTAAGAACGGTTAAAACCGGCCAAAGAGCAGCTAAGTATGCTTTAGGCAAAGAATGAATAAGTTGGCCTAAGAATGTATAAGAACACCCCAAAGAACGAAAAGAATACATAAGACTGCTGGCCCTAAAGAATGCTAAAGAATGGTAAAGAGTGGTTTTATTTCTTAAGAATGAGACTTAAGAACGTGTGCCATACTTAGCAACCCTATGATAAGAATGGTTAAAACCGGCCAAAAAGCAGCTAAGTATGCTTTAACACTAAGTTGGTCTAAGAACGAATAAGAACACCCCAAAGAATGGAAGAGAATACCTAAGACTGCTGGGCCCCAAAGAATGCTAAAGAATTTCAAAGAATGGTTTTAAGATAAACGGATGCCTTACGAACGTTCTTAGAACGTTCTTAGAACGGTGTAAGAACGTTCTAATGGTTATTCAATTTTATCAATTTGGCTGGGCTAAGAACGAGTTAAGAACGTTCTTAACCCCCCTCCGTGTTTGTAGGATATTAAAGTTATAACTTTAATATCTTTTTTCTTATCTCACAGAACTAAGCAAGAATGTTACAAAAGCTCTTGCAGCGCTGCAAGGTATTTAGCTTACATCTGTCCCAGATTTAAAACTTTCGTAAATGTGAGCCCGAACAGCTCAACAGTGGCAGTGAAATGTCAATCTTACACCTCCAGAAAGTAATTCCTTACTTAGAATCATCTATTGAGCAAGCATTTGCCCCTAGTAAATGTTACTTCATATTTGTTTGAAGTTCTTGATATTCATTACTTCATAATTGCTTGATCATGAAGTTCTTAATAAATGTCACTTAATATTTGTTTGGAGGACTTAGTATTCGGGACTAAGCGCTTCGAGTACCATTAGTATGTAACATGATACTAAGTGACCTACTAAGCGGCCTATTAAGAATGTTACCAGGTAGCTATGAAGGACATATGAAGTGGGTAGCACTAAGATGGTATTAAGAAGATACTAAGTGGTGGCGTTCCACGAGTGTAGATAATATATGCACCACACAATTAATATCCAAGCATTTCGTAGATCACCGGTGGGCAGTGCACGAAAACCCCTGCTACAGCTGTGAGCTCAGTCAACGAGCACTGTACAGAACAGTATACATAGATATATAGTTCAGCAGGTAGAGGCCA